CCCCAAAACCCCAAAACCCCAAAACCCCAAAACCCCATATAAAAGAATAGCACTTGATGGTGATAATATATAAATATGAATAAACTAATTCACTTTGAGGAAAACTTATCTGAAGAACTTCTTGATGAGGATGTCTCTGTATCAAGATTGAACATGTCTCCCAACATTGAAAAGAATATGGTTGGGTCTCCATTCCATTTTGGTCATAATTTCATGAAATTGGGTGATAAAGAGTCCTGTCCAGAACCTAATTCTGAATGCAAGTCACCATCTTATGCTAGCAGTACTCTTGAGGTAACTTCAAATGGGTTTTCTTGTTCGAAGTCCAAGAAGAATGATAGAGCTCAGCGAGCAAGCTTGAAGGAAGACATTAAAGATCTTTTGCATCAAGCAATAAGATTAAGGAGTCTTCCAAATTGCAACAAGAAAGAAAAATGTGAGGAAGTTCCAGCTCTACGTCGACTTAGTGGAGAAATCACCATGAGAGACATTGAAGCTCCTTAAAGCTTTATCAATATTATCTAATAATTCATTCATAAATAATTTATAATAAACTGCTCTTTTCGTTGGCCATTATTCCTTGTGCCTTATCGATAATCACTCCTAATGATGCTCATCGTTTTCTGGATGGTTAAATTTGGAAATGTCTTAAAAATTCTAAAATATAACATTACTTTGCCCGAATCACTCCAAAAATAATATATTGGAAATGTTTTATTTCATAATTTGGATAAAAATAACAACTTAGAGCTATTTTTAGCACTCAAGTTACATTGTTGCATAATTTTGTTCAATTAGAACCAATGTTAGATTCAGAAACTCCTGTTCAGGTAGATTAATAGAGATTCTGCCAAATTTTTATGGGGTGCTTGGTTATTATAAAGCAAACTTTGGTGATGGAGGATGCTTACTACTCATCCTCTTTAACTAAGGACGAAGCTTTAGTGACTATACAACATATTTAACAATATTTTAATACGAAATAAGTTCTTTGAGGCCATATTTCATAAATGCTTGCAATTTTCTATCTCAATAGTTTGGCAATTTAATTTCTGAAATAAACTGCCTCAATGGTTTATTTCTGCATGGAACCTTGACCTTGAGAGTTCTTGTTATTAATATCTGATTAAAGTCTTGAAGAAATTTTATTAGATTATAATATTGTTCTGAAAGAATCTTATTCTTTTTATTAAAAATCCAAACTTTATTATCTATTTACTACCAGCTTTCACTGAAAGTACGAATCAAAAATTTCTTATCATAAGGTTGAGCCTCTTGCTTTCCCATTCCAGACCAGCAACTTTAAGTAAAATATCTATTTTACAGCAAATTTGTTGCATGAAAGCTAAACTTTATTTTTGTCAAGCTTCCTATTGAAGTTTTACACAATTTCAGGATTTGAAAGTTATAAAAAGGTTAGTTTCACATAACTCTCAATAAGTAGAAATATTGGCATGATGTATGATGCAAGACGCCTTCGTTAAACATATTCCGGATTCTATTAGGCTTTGTGGCTGATTTAGAACTGAACTTATATAAATATAAAGGAAGAAGCTTGAGATCGAGTTGGAATAAATCCGGTACTCAGCTAGTCCTTTCCAAAGCTAGTTAATAAATCCGGGGCAAGAATTAATAGAAATTCTGAGTTAGCTTTTCTCAATATGGAACATACAACCTCTTTTCTATGTCGAGAGTCTTTAAGATATGCTCTACAGCAAGCTTACTCTTGCATTGATAGCTATATTAAGAAGTTGACAAAATAAATTCTATTGTATATAAGAATAGAGACATATTCATCAAGTAAATTATCAAAATTTTCCTTCTTATCCTTTTCAGAAAGTTATGGTCAACACTTTTTAATGATTTTGGTTGACTGGAAATTTTTGACATTTTCTAGTAAATAATACATGAGTTATATACTTAGCCCGATTAGAGGAGAAAAGACTCCAAAATGAAATTACTAGAGATCAACATTTTACAGGTTTGGTGATTAATTTTGATCAGAAATCTTGAAGAATAGTTTCTTATTTTTAACCATGATAACTGCTTTTTAATGATAGGAGTATAACTTGTTCCATTACGATATAGGCTAAGATGTAGAGTTAAGAAAAGTAAAACACTGGAGGGAAACTGGAAAGAATTCTTTTAAATTTCAGATTCTCACTGCCTAATTTCCTCATCTCCTCTAAATTCAAGTTCATCAGCAGACCTAATACTAATATTTATAATGAACAATACAATCTATCCACCGCCTTCGGGGTTTTGGGGTTTTGGGGTTTTGGGGTTTTGGGGTTTTGGGG